AAGGGCGTACAGGAGGGAGAAATGAAGTAGAGGGAAGACAGAAAGCAAGTAGATAGAATGAAGGGAAGGAGGTAAGTTATTAAATAAGGAAAGCAGGAAGGAAGAAAGGAAGAAAGTTAGGAGTTAGGCAAAAATGTAGGTACTTAAAGGGAGGAAAGGAGTAAGCAAGTAGATATAGAGAGAAGGTGAAGAAATAAGAAAGGAAGTAAAGAGGAAAAAAGTAGAAAAAGTGGAGGGATGAGGGAAGTGATCAGGTATATAAAACAGGGAGGGAGGGACAAAGAAGGGAAGTGGACGGACGGACAGACGGATGGAACCAAGGAAGGAAGGACGGAAAAAAGGACGTAGAATGAGAGTTTGGCAGGAAATGAGGGAAAGAAGATCAGGGGTTTTCGTTCTTCTAACTGCTCCTTGTGGAACAATTTGTTTAAAATAGGGATGTTAATTCTTTGGTTTAATTGATTTTTCAAAATAAATAAAAAGACGAGAAAGAAGGAGGGAAACAACCACACTGTTAAACTCAAGACATTTCAATCTTGGCATCCAAAGGCTCTGCTCCGTTTTTAATCATCCATATGGTGGAAGTGGGTGTTGGTCTTGCTAGATGGGAGCGCGGTATCCGGCGTATGCTTCCTGAGCTAGAAATGTGTTGGAAACACCGCCTACTCAGCACGCGCTCTGGTGTGTAAACAGTGGAATGAGTCGGCGAAACAGTGAGAGAAATTATGCTGAAAATATTTGCACCTCATGAGGATTAAATCTGTATGTTCACAGTTTACCAACAAAAACACTGAGCTAAAGTCATTCTGGCTGCATACAGTAGCAGCCAGTCAAAATCCCCCTTCCCAGTCGAACACCAGCTGAATGGCAGCCTACTCCCCTGCGACACCCAGCCACTGGACTTCTCCTAGGCGTGCATTTTTTTACTCCAAATCCACCCTTTCACTAAATTACAGGATCTGACCATGAGATGGCGCGTCTCTTTAGATCCTAACGTCCACAAATCATGACAGAAAGAATATTTTAGAACAAAGATTGATGTTTGAAAAGGAATTGTAGGGGACCAGCCAAGGACTAGTCAAAGACCAGTCAAGGACTAGTCAAGGGACCAGCCAGAGGCCAGCCAAGGACCAGCCAAAAACTAGCCAGGAACCAGCAAGGGAACAGCCAGGGGCTAGCCAAGGGCCAGCCAGGGACCAGACAAACACCAGCAAGGGACAAGCAAGGGACCAGCCAAAGACCAGCCAGGGACCAGCCAAAGACCAGCAAGGGATCAGCCAAGGGCCAGCCAGGGACCAGCCAAGGACCAGCCAAAAACTAGCCAGGAACCAGCAAGGGAACAGCCAGGGGCTAGCCAAAGACCAGCCAGGGACCAGCCAAAGACCAGCAAGGGATCAGCCAAGGGCCAGCCAGGGACCAGCAAGGGACCAGCCAAGGGCCAGCCAGGGACCAGCAAGGGACCAGCCAAAGACCAGCCAGGGACCAGCCAAAGACCAGCAAGGGACCAGCCAAGGGCCAGCCAGGGACCAGCCAAGGGCCAGCCAGGGACCGGCAAGGGGCCAGCCAAAGACCAGCAAGGGGCCAGCCAAAGACCAGCAAGGGGCCAGCCAAAGACCAGCAAGGGGCCAGCCAAGGGCCAGTCAAGGACCTGCAAGGGACCAGCCAAGGGCCATTCAAGGACCAGCAAGGGACCAGTCAAGGACCAGCAAGGGACCAGCCAGGGACCAGTCAAAGCCCAGCCAGGGACCAGCAAGGGACCAGTCAAAGCCCAGCCAGGGACCAGCAAGGGACCAGTCAAGGACCAGCCAAGGACCAGCAAAGGGCCCATCCAGAAAAGTGGGTAAATTATGAATCGCTACTACTGTAAACCTCGGCCTCCTCAGTCGATAGTTTGTGGAACCAGTAACAGCTGCAGGTTTTGGTTTCAGGTCTGGACTTTGACTGGGCTGTTCTAACACATGAACATGTTCCATTTTATAACTATAACTGAATCTAATGAAAAATAAACTGAAATTAACCATCTAATAATGAACTAACAATGTTTTCAATCATGTAGAATGTTCTGCCCACAAACCACTTTGTGTTGGTCTTTCAAATTAAGTCCAATAAAACATAAATGTTTGTACTGGTATGAATACCTTTACATGCTTTTTGATTTCTCTAAAACAGGCATTTTATCACAGTCACAAATAAAAGTAAAAAAATGGCTCAGAAGAAGCCAAATCTGGGCTGTTTAGTCACCACCTTGTATCTCTGCTTTCTGTCCAGTGATGTTAGAAACCCATGAAGAAAACAAAGCTTCCAGCCGAGTCATTTTGAACCATTAGCCGGAGCTGCAAAGAGCACGCTGTAAAGCGGCACCGCGATCAATTACACGGAGCGTGTGGAGTGAAAGGTGAAGCTAAAAGCCTGGTGGAAAAAATCGTGGACAGTGAATGGATGCTGCTGTGTTGTTTATGTGCAGCAGGGCTGCGACTCTGCGGTGTTGTGATTTTAACAGCAGCTCCTGGATGGACGGTTTATTTTCGCCCGTCGCCCGGTGAGTGACGGTCCAATCAAGCTTGGGACGGCCTGTCAAGCCTGTCAGGCTGAGGAATGAGAGGAGATGGGAATCAAAGACACGGAGCAGAGCTGAACCATGATGGACGGACCCGACCACGGCTGCCGCAGAGGCAAAGGCAGAAAGATGATAAAATGGAAAACAGGAGCCAGAGAGAGGGTGTCCAGAGAGGAGGGAGAGAAGCAGCAACACTACAGATGACCCAAATTAGTCTGAACCACACCAAAGGTTTAATAAAAACTAAAACGTTCCAAAAGGAAAAATAACAGATTAACCTGAAATTTTAGTATAAAGGTTAAACAGAAATGGTGAGCTCCTTTGACGAAACATTACTGGATCCTACCTGCACAAAGGATCATCATCACAGATCCTTCTTCCCATCAGCTGCTAGACTTTAAAACACTGATCATAATAAGCTAAGTTATTCTACTATCTTTAATATCCTTGCAAGGATCAAAAACTTTTTTCTCGATCAATTGAAAAAGTATACATGGAAACATACAGTACACTTTTTAAATTACCAATTGGATTGAACACTTTGAGTCAGATTATTTTCTTTACTATGTATAACAACTGCAGTATTTTTGTCTTCATAGCCAACCGTAGTGTTTTATTCTGTTTTCTATTTTGTTTTTTTAACTTTTTTTGGAATAACTATGACCATCACCAGCATGTTGTTTCTAAATATTAATGCAGAGATCTTCAGCATTTTCCAGGCCCAGGACCCCCAAACTGAGATGGAGCAGGGATGTAGGAGTTTGCCCTGAAGTCGAGGGATTGACGGTTCAAACCCCGACTCCGACTTTCAGTGTCGTCGTGTCCTTGGGCAAGACACTTCACCTGCATTGTCTACTGATGGTGGTCAGAGGGCCCGGTGGCGCCAGCGTACGGTAGTCTCGCTTCTGTCAGTGAGCCCCAGGTCAGCTGTGGATACAATGTAGCTTGCCACCATCAGTGTGTGAGTGTGTGTGTGAATGGGTGAATGAATGTAGTGTAAAGTGCTTTGGTCAAGTCTCCTGTCTTGAATAAAGGCGCTATATAAGTACAGGCCATTTACCATATATTGTATGAAATTGTGCTATATGAAACTGTTCCAAGAGTTACTCTATTACATACAGAGTAATGAAACAAAAGTAATTTCGTCCTGGGATTGTTAAAGTATTTCTGATTCTAATTCCTCGTTGATAGGACAGGTGTTGTGAATGAAATGGAACACCTAAATTCGGCCAATCATATATCAACGGTCATCTGTCAATCACATTTTTTCAGTCATAGCATCTTGATTCATATGTCGCAGCTAATATACGCAACGGTTGAAATCAGAATCCTTTCCTTTCGCATTGAGTTGCGTCCCAGTGTTCATGGGGATGGACGTCTGTTTCTTCGGCAGGCGTAGAGCTAACAGAACTGGCAGCGTTGCGAGGCAAGGGCTCAAACATGTACGGCTGGAAGCCTTCTACACCAAACCAAGCTTCTGCCGCCCTGGCGTCCTCTTCCACAACATCTTCGTCCCCGCTTTCCTCCTCTAAATAAAAAATGGATGACGGAGGAGACTCATCCACGACCTCCGACACTAAACTCTCCTCCTCTTGCATGTTTCCGCTGTCCATAGCGTTCCTTGACAGCGTCGTTTCTAAGTCACCAATTTAGTGCTACTTGGTCCCAATGGAATTTCCCATTGGGAACCAGCTAGCACTAAAATGCTAACTGGTTAGCAAGATGCTTCCGACAAACCGGCCACAACCAAACTTGCTTGCGAACCTTCCGCCAAAACAATCCCGTCCCCTTGATAACTGACCAATCACATTCACTTTATTGACTCGTGTAGTCGGGCACCACTCGGGAGAATTGGGAAAGGCAACGGTTGGAACAGCCGCTTCCCTACGACTTTAATTTGTTTTATATGGGGGTAAAGAAATACCAGACTTTATAATCATTACTCAGATATGACCCTACATTTCTACACAATCTAGAGTAGGGATGCGAACTGAACTGCTTCAGTAAAAAAATCGAGGCTAACGTTCAGAAAGCTGTACTTTTGATTTGTCTAAAGTCGACTCGGCCTAACAAAGTCGACTTTTTTGAGAATGCTCTTTTTTTTTTTTTTAAACACATATTTATCCTTCATTTCTGACTTTGGAGGACTGATTTTCAAAGTTTTCAGTCCAGATCTTTTCTGCTGCTGATGTTTGAAAAGTGTAGTTTTTATATGACTTGTTGATAATTCACCACGTCCGCCTGCTTTTTCGGCCATTTAACAATGTGAAGACCAAACTGACAGAAGGTGTTTTCCTGCTCTCCTTTTAGCAGAGAAAAAACTAACAGTGCTGAAAACGTTTCCAAAGTTTAAAATGCACTTTTAGAACCATGATACCTTTTTCATAACAACGCATGTTTGAAAACTAAAAGCTTTAACTTGTGAAAGGTGGATTCCTCTTACCGATCCAACGCATGACTGAGGTGAGAATCTGAAGGTATTTGGTCTTCTGGGCGTTGAAGAAGGTGAAAGGCCCCAACAGAAGGGTGAACAAGCTCTGCAAGAAAAGGAAGGAAAACACAAGTTATTGTTTTACTTGATTGGAACAGAAAATAACAACAAAGAGAAAAAAGTTGGGTTTTTAACTCTTAAAAATCGGAAGTCAGAGCGTCATAAAAGCAGCGTTACAGTGGGAGACCTGCCTCATGGAGGGCTGATGAGAGCTGGCAGAGGCGCAGTTAAATGTCAGCCACTATGAACAACGCCATAAATGTCAGAGTTAGTCAGTGGGACTGTTTGATTTACAAGGCATGACTGTGAACTATTCTGCATTAGGCTGCAGCTGAGACATAACTAATCTTTGTTTAATTGTTTTTTTTAGGAGGTAGAAAAGGTGGCAATTGAAAGTTTTAATAATTTGTGAGGCTGTATTTTAGAATTTCTTGACTTCTTTACGTCTGATTTCAGCTTGTGCTCCAAAAATGGACCCAAATGAAATCCCCTAATAACAGTGCATTTTCCATCCGACGTGCTCATAAAAGGAGGCATTTTAAAGTACGAAACCTTCTAGTTTTTGGTGATAAACATCTCAATGCTGCAACTGTTACACCACTTCAATCACAGCAGTTAAGACATGTTTAAAAATTTGCTTTTTTCTTCTCAGAAAATAAATATGCTCCTTTCTAAAAGCCCCCAATGCATTTGGGGACAGATCAATTTATGTTTGTGTGCAAAGTTAAGCATCAATAGAATAAAGTATGTTGAGGCTGTACGAGTCTTTTTGAATATGTGCATATAGGACATTGCACCAAATATGCCTCCAAATGTGGCAAATTCTGTAAAGAGCTTTTAACCATTTATTAAATTCAGTTCAATTCAGTTTATTTCTATAGCTCTAATTCACATCATGTCATCAGTTCACCAGATCATCCAGTCAGTTTGATTTAAAGTTTTCTATCTAAGGAAAACCAGCTGATTGCATCGACTCATTGACTCTTCAGCAATCCCTCACACTAAGCATGCTTGTAGCGACAGTGGAGAGGAAAAACTCCCTTTGAACAGGAAGAAACCTCCAGCAGAACCAGGCTCAGTGTGAGCGGCCATCTGCTGAGGCCCACTGGGGTTCAAGGAGACAGAAGTAGACATAGAAAAAGAAGCATAGATACAAAAAGCAGTTGTAAAATGCGTCCCCGTCCAGGAAACACACAGCCAGGCAGACGAGCTCTGAGCCAGCTCCCATGTCAGAGGATGAAGAGAGCACATCCAGTTAGTCACAGTCAGAGAAACAGGACTACACTGGAAAACAGGCCTAGCTCCAACATCTAGAAACAAAGGTGTTGATGGCAGCAGCACAGCTGATATTTCTCTCCAGGATGGAGTCACAGCCAAACAGGAACAGACCAGATGAAGCTACTATGAGAAAAAGCAGAGAGAGCAGAACGTTAGAGATTGAACTAACAGATTCTGCAGAGTGGGAGAATAGAGATAGAATGAAGCAGAATGATGAAAAAGGGGTCCCTATGTCCTCCAGCAGACTAAGCCTATAGCAGCATAACTATAGAGATAGCTCAGGATAACCTGAGCCACTCTAACTAGAAGCTTTCTTAAAAAAGGAAAGTTTTAAGCCTGGACTAAACTGGTAGTTGGTTCCACAGGAGAGGAGCCTGAGAACTAAAAGATCTGCCTCCCATTCTACTTTTAGAAATTCTAGGAACCACTAGTAAGCCTGCAGATTGAGAGTGAAGTGCTGTGTTAGGAACATCAGCTCTTGTATCTTGTGTCATGGCAGGATGGTTCCTTCACAAGCCAAGTGGACTGTGGTTAAGAGTCATGTATCTCTTCCTATTTACAGTCAAGGGAAAGGGACGTTTTTTTATATTTATATATATCTATCTCTCTCTCTCTCTCTCTCCATCCACCCGCCCACCCATCCATCCATCCATGAGAGCAGCAACTGATCTCACAGACACTCATTGTGTGCCATTTCATCTGAACAGCAGCCTGCAGGGTCTCTCTGGACATACACCGACACACGGGTCCCTCTGAGGACACATAGTAAGACTTCAGTTCAGCGGCTGACGCGTAACAGACAGCAGAGCACAGCCGTAACGACAGCAATTTAACAAGGAAACCATCAGGCTTCCAGGGTCACTTCCTCTGTGCCCGGAATATATGTTTGAGACAGAAAATAATAAAACTAGACACTTCAAACCAGAATGGACGGCTTTAGCCCCTAGATTATGAATTATTTGGGCTAAAACATTCATAAGGTTGTAACAAAAAAAACCTGCAAGGACAAAAATATGTGGGTAGATTACCTGAAGAGAGTGAAGATGAGGTGTTAGTGTCTAAATATTGAAATATTCCCAGCTGTCCTCCAGGCAGAGGGATGTCAAAGCTCAATCCCAGACAAAAGCATAAATCTGCAGAACCCATCGAAGTAATGAATGAACCATTATGAAGAGAGATGTCTGTGAAGGTGGAAAGGAAACCCATCTTGGCAGCAGGCAGGTTGACAGCATATCTGAGTCATAAATACATCAGTGGGGTCGGCCTCAGCCGAGCAAAGAAGACTGTAATCAGCAAAGACGCATCAGAGCCGAGTCCAGTTCCACATTTTACTCCCGTTTCTTCGTGTTTGGGAAGAAAAACAAACATGGAAGACAAGGTAGAATATTTCTTTTAAGAAAATTAATGAATTGATGCATAATTAGTATCCTTTTCCTCTAAAGCTGAGGCACATGCATATATGCTCCCTGCATTTGATTCACACACATCCTGTGACATTTATTACCCTCATCCACAAAGAAGGCCTCTGCTATGCTTTTGTTAAAGCGGGACTGCTACTTTTAACTACCAAAGGCACTAGACCAGAGACTTTATTCTTCTTTTATCTTATATTATGAAGTCTCTGAGAGGAAAACCCAATGAGTACTTGGATGGTGTCCAATCTGAAGACAAGAAATGGGATTAGAGAGGAGAACGGTCACCAGGCCTGGAGTCTAACCTGTTAAGGCCACGTCGAGGACCTAAGCCTCCGTACATGTGTTCAATCCCTGTTAAAATACAAAGTTTTCTATCTTTAAAACAAATAACCTGTGTCTTTCAGTTTTTTTTTTAATCAAAATTAAAGCAGAGGCGTCAAAAGTATTAACGTGTATTACTCCAGTAGAAGAATAAATCCTTCTGTTTAAAAACGCTTTCGTAGAAGTTAGAGGATCAACTTCAGCTTTTTACTCAACTAATAGTGTAAAAGAAGCACGGAAGCCGAGAGCGGTCGTACTCAACTTTTCTTTTTTCCCTTTGCTTTTTTTTTCTCCTTTATTTAACAAGGAAAAGTCCCATTCAGATTAACAATCTCTTTTTCAAGGGAGTCCTGGCCAAGACAGCGGCAAAAGATTACATTACAAATTACATTACAAATTCCTATTCCTGAAGAAGAAGCCAATTTTCACTCTGAGTTTCTTAATCAATTCTCAAGATAACAAGATAATTATCTCGTTATCCCGAGAAAACAGTTATGGATTTCTCGCGATAACGAGATGATTAACCTGTGTGAGTGATGAATGAGGCTGACCAGTCCATCCGCCATGTTCTTTAGACTGAACTGTCGTGCTTCTCGTTGCGTCACACCTCAACCCGCCTCAAAGCCAGCGCTGATTGGACGTTCGTTTGGTGAACGGCTCCAAATTTTCTTCAACGGAGAGTCTCCAGACTGATCTGCGAGTGAAACCTCGCGAGATCAGGATGATCTCACAAGGCTAGCGTAACACCGGGGCTGTTCAGAAAACACCCGGTGACAGAACACTGCACAGGTCTAATTGCTTATGAATCACAAGTGGAAGCAAATCATGAAACCAACAATGTCGCCACGTTACCTAAAAGTTAAACACGAGATTATTTACAGAATTACAAATAGGCTGCCATGACTTATAAATCCTACACCATACACCCGTCATCTTGTTATCACGAGAAAATGACTTTGTTATCTTTAGATAATGAGAACATTTAGCGTTTTCTCGAGCAAACCACCGTGACAAAGTATCTGATGGACACGGCGGCTATCGGATTCTGTAAAGCAGCATCTTTTAAAACTACTTAAAGTTTAAAAGTAAAAGTAATGCAGGAAAAAATGTTAAGGACAGAAACTTTAGTGCGCTTCTCTATTAAAAGGAAAATTTTTCTACAATTCTTGATTATAAATTCCTTAGACTTCATTTTCTTAGTTTCACAACTAATAGTAACAGTGTTAAATTTAACTTGAAAACTATTTATTTTGGTATGTGGTGAGCAACAAGTTGGGGCAGCACCGAGTCCAACCACAAAGAAATTAATTGTACAGATGAAACTTAATTATTTTTATGTTTTTTGTTGTTTTTTTTAAATACCAACAAGCTATAATGAAAATGAGCTTAAATAAAACAAAACTAAGGCATTTATTTTTAAAGTTTTAAAACGTTTAACAAATAATTACTCCAGTAAAGTATGGATAGCCAAGGTTTTTAATTAAGTAAAGTAACCAAGTGTTTGGACTTTGTTACTTAAAGAAATATCTGTTCTTATCTGCAGCCGTGAGGATCAGCAGGTTTGACGTTTATCAGGTTTTACAGATTTCTGCTGTAAAGAAAAAGTCGCAGCAGTTGAGAAATAAGTTTACACCTTCTTAACTGTGTGACTCCTGTTTCTCTGGGATTTTTACTGTCCTGCATTCAGGTTGACATGAACCTTATCAGCTGTTTTCCTTCTGTGGAAAACAACAAATCCATGATGTGCATCAAATAAAGCCTGAACCGTTTTCCCAACAAACCTTTAAAAAAAACATGAGTCGCCTTTATTACAGATAACTAAACCTGCCGGAAACTAAAGTCTTCCACAAATAAGACGCCTGTCTGGAATCTTATAATGTAGACAATTGGATGCTTGGATTTAATGCATTTATTCATTTAATCCTTTGTTTTGGCCGCTTTAGTGATTTAATCTCCCCCTGGTTTGTTTGCAGACGTGCAGAATTTCTCTGAGCTTTCTGCCTCCTAAGCACAGAAGCTGCTTACGTTTCACACCC